ACCAATAAGTATAGTTATAATATAAAATATAAATAGAATAATATTCGTATTGTCAATTAATATTTCGTAATACTGAGTACCTAATAGTATCGGGAGATTTATTAATAAATTCGAACATTATATTATTTTCTTCGTATGAAAATACTCGTTTTAACTAGGATTATAAAAAATGTAATTACCTTTATAAAATCCGAAGAAACCGATATTAGTTTTAAATTTTAATCGGTTTTTCAGGAACGGATCAATAACGGTTTTTCAATTGTAAACGGTTAACGGTTTCAGTTACAGTTTTTTTAAACCAGTGTTTTGAAGCTTTTAGTGTCTTTTCCGGTTACGATGTTCAATAATGAAAAAACCGGTTTTCATAAACCGGTTTCGATCTATGATACATTTAGAATCTATGTGGATTATATAGGGACTCCATGTGTCTCTCGGATAATCCTGCCACTACCACTGAAAATTGTCTGAAATAATCATCTAGGGGTTGTAACGATGTCACGATCTGTGAGGTGGTTTTGAAAGCTTGATAAAAGCGATAAATCGGATTGGTTATAAAAGAGACTTTAACTGCATTTCCTACTTATTTATATACTTTGTTTATAGGCTTTTGTTGTCATTTTGGGGATTTCAGAAATCCATTAGTTTGTCGTGAAACATTAATCGACCCGCGAATGAACATATAATATACTCGTACATTTAATGATGTATACGTGAAATGTTCACTAATTTCAATAGAGCGTATCACATATATTATGTATTATACATAACACACGTAATTATCGGCACAGTTGAGTATTGGTGTCATGCATATAGCTTATCAATAACATATTTTTTACGGGTTGTATTATACCTGCATATATTTTAGGTTCAAAGCATATATTAATTCTAAAATAATGTGAACTTTTTTTATGGAAGTGTACACGACAAGTACTCGGAATAATGATATGATTTTTTTCTTTGGGAATGGTTTTTGATGGAAAATTGGACCTAGTTGATACTTTAGAAAAGCCAAAATTGAAATTTTTAATGATTTTTTAAGGAAAAAAGCAGGGAATTTTACGAAAACCAATTGTCATAATATTAATTTTCTTTTTTTGTTTATGTAACCTAAAAACGAATAACTGCAATTAATCAAATATATGCATTAGAATTTTTTTAATATTTTTATTCTTTTTGGGCTAGCTAATAATAGACAATAAAATAGATATTTTCAACAGATTTTTTTAATTTAAATTTTGGATGAAATTAAATATTTAATCAAAGAAAATCTACGATTTTAGTTACTTTAATGTAGTTTAAAAATATTATTCGCGAGTACTCACAACATTTAAAGTTGTAATTATATTTTAAACATACGACATTTTGAATTGCAATGTTTTAGACAAAATTAATTCAACCTCATCAATAACTCGATAATAGGGAACTAAATTACTTTAATAGCGATAATATCTTAAAATATACTAAGGTTAGGTAATATAGGTTGACAAACCATATTCGCTCAGAATCGTTTTTTGTATGCCATGATTTATATTTGAATTGAAATTCAATACAACCATTACTGCAGTGACCCACACGACACCTACTATAAAGCAGAACGATACCTACTATTGCTTACCTTTTTTTGTAATGTACTGCAATTTAATAAAAAGCAATCTCGCACGAGTTCAAAATATCCCTCATGTATTATATAGCTCGGTTTGATAAAAACATACAATATAGAAGGTAGGCCATAGTTATCATGTATCTGATAAAATCATTTATTTATTTAATTAAAATTCAAAATATCGTGAGCGAACAGTCATTAATTTGGCACTTTTTCATATATTATATGTTWAAGTTATACCCATATTATATAGGTAGACAAGTTATACGCCCGGATCAATAAAAAGTTTCTATAATATTAAAATATCTATATTGTAGTGGGTTTAACGAAGCGATGTTTTCGATTTTTTCTATCTTTCATTGCATATTTATAATGTTATTATAATGCATTCCTATACCTACGTAAACAATCTTATAATACTCACTTACGTTATTAAAATGTACTTTTTAACCTTACCAAATTTCAGAGTTTGAATTTTTTTTGAAATTTTAATTTCATAATAATATTTTAACTACTAGTTAATGGGACAAATATCTCAAATAACTATGATAATGCATTGTAGATTGTATTATAATCTGTAAATTTAGTTTTTATTCACTGTTATAAAACTGCCTTAGTTAATTGGGCCTATGTTAAACTTCAGCAATAATAATTAATAATAATAAATATCATTGTAATTAATAACCTACTCTAAGTTTGTTTAATATTTATAGCAAAGGTAGGATATTTTAAATTATTATTATTATTTTGGTTGGTAATTTTTAGAAAAAATTAAAGTTTAAGATTCGTTTATATTTAACTTAATGTCTATTCGTCCACTGCATAAAATAATTATTATATTTTTTAATTGTTAATTCATCCATCTCTCTGATAATGGTTTATTTCTACAAATTTCATGAGTTTAAGAAAATATAGAAACGAMAGTTGTTGCGTAAGAATCCAACTTTAGCCTGCCTACACAAATAGAATTATATTAACACATATAAATTTTGTAAAGAAATTCTAAAAGTATTTTATATATTATACATTTAGTACACAACTGTAGGAATTGTAATAATTAATGTTAAAATAATAATTTATTTTATTATTTTACTTTCGTCAAGCATTATATATCATATTATATGCTCATTTCAAATAATAAAAATTCCCCGCAAAAGATATTTATAATTTATAAAAAAATTACTTCAATCGTTATTCATCGTTTAAATATTTTGATTCGTCTAAATTTGAACTTAAAAGTTAAAATTAAAAAAAAAAATCGTATTTATATTATATCTTCAAGGCTAGACAAAAACGATTTAATAGGTTAAAAATTAAGTTATTTTCTAACTTATTAAAATATTATTAGCTTAACATACTAGCTCAATGTTTTAATATTTAATAACTTATTTTTAACTTAACTCATTTGTATCTTCGTAAGTTTACAAACAATGTACGTATATTATTTTTAATATTATTAATTTATTTAATTTTTCATATCTAAAAAAAATATTTATTATACACAAAAGTTATAAGTTTCGTGTAATTTAGCTAGAAAAAAGAAGAATTTCGTAGGTATGGAAAAAAATTTCGAATTTTTTTAACATAATTATTATAGCTCAAAATAAAAAAATAATATTTTGTATAGAAATTGGTAATATAAATAGCATTTTTTTCTATTATAAAAAGTGTCTTTCATCATCCTATGAATCCATTACATCTCCACAATCCACTCAAATCAACTCTTCTTCCTCTTTCGAAACCTTTGGCATAATCCATTGGAATATAATGGAAGAATGTAACTTTTTTGGAAAAATCTACCCTTCACCAACAAACTGAGAAATACAAAATTATTCGTTAAGAAATTCCACTACTCTCCAGGCACAAAAATAAGTGGAGAAGTAACCGTCACTTGAACCAAAATAGGCCATTCTCGCTTAACTTGCCTAAACTGTTTCACCCCACCAAGCCATCAAAAAAGAGAACACAGCTGCAATTATTACATTCTTCCTTAATATAAACTCAAACTATCCATTGTAAATAATAATAATAAGAATGTTGTAAAGTTTATTCCAAAATGTAATGTATATATATTCTTTGTTTAACTTTTGATCAAATGTAGGCTAAAAACCTGTGTTGTTGAAGTCTAAACTCGTGAATTAGAAAAAATGTGTCTTTAAAATATTTACCGACATTTTTGTTTATGTTGAAATTCCCATTACTAAAAGATAATATTATTATTACTAACTGATCCTGCACGGCATCGCCCGTGACAATTAATTAAATTACCATGGATTTACATCTTCTTAAACTATGTTAAACCATGAATATTTTTCACACTGCTATTTTGGTTGTTTTGACTTAATATAAATTACAGGTCTAAAATTATATTCAACTATAACCATTAACTGTTTTTTTGCCTGAATTTGCTGTCAAATGTTTTATGAAAATCGTTCATAAACTGTGGATTTAAATTTGCAGGGTCAGTGATTTAGGACTGACTTTATGCAGTCAGTATAAATACTACAGCTGGAATATGTAATGTTGCCTATGACAAATTTAATAATGCCAGTGATGGATTGACAGGGTAAATCCGTTAAAATACTGGTCTTAAATTAATAATCTATTCAATCGTAATAAAACTGTTTTATTTTCTGTAACCTATGCAATAATATTCAACAACTGCAACAATATGCAAAAACAAAAAATAATAATTTTTCGTTACTCAAATAATATTCAACATAGCCATCCACCCGGTGTTCTCCATGTCAAATAGAGGAGGACCTGAGAGACTCACTGAGATGATAAGGATTGAAATATTGTGATCATACGAGTAGTAATGATAATATTAATCCCACGAGGTGGATAAAATATCTAACTCTAAAATTCTATAGTTAGGTATACAAATTATGTCGTTTTCATTGCATCGTTTGTCCCGCGATGGTTTTTAGTGTATTAAAAATTTTTCACCTTAGAATGTATTCGATCGTTTACCATACAGCCACCTCAAGTGGTTTACGTGCAACTAAACCACCTGTTATTTGAGCATTATATAGTCAAGATCAAATTTAAAATATTAATAATATTTGATATTTTCAATATTAAAGAAAGTAGTTTGAATTTTGAAAAATGACGTAAGAAATTTGAAAAAATGATTTATATCGTGAATTTCAAAATCATTGGTGGATCACCCTTTAAATTTTTATTTTTTGAAAATTCTTTATTAGTGCTCATCTAGATCGATAGGTTAGTAGAAACCCCTTATTTCAAATTTTAAGTTCATCCGTTTTGTAGTTTATGAAATTATTGTGATGAGGGAGTTAGTGGTATCTGACATTCATATATATATATATATATATATACATATATATAATAATAATATTTTATAAATATGGTTTTTTATTTGTTTTCCTTGTAGTATATACCGGTAGCGGCCAGTACGCTGAGTCTCATGACGCAGTCGATCGACCGGTACGCGTCAATCAAACACCCACGGCACAACAGGTTGCACCGAGACAAACACGTCGCATATCTGGTGTCTGGCGTGGCAACCGCGTGGACGGTGGCCGTGGTCATCTCGGTGCCGCGGTACGCGTGGCCGGTCCGTCAGCTGATCATTGACATGCAGTGGACGTGGTACTACGAGGCCTGCTACGTGACCGTCGTGTTCGCCGTACCGTGGGCCGCCGTCACGTTCAGCCAGCGGGCCGTCAGCAGGACGCTGTACATCACGTCACTCAAGGCGGCCGCGGCCCGCGGTCAATTGCCACTGCCCATGCCCTTAATGACGGCCGAGTCCAAGCAAGTGATCCTGGTGGCATCCATACAGAAGAATACAACTGTCCAGTCCAAGGTCAGTAGCACTTGATACATATATGCAGAGTGGTATCAGTAGCACTTTGAAGCTTRGTTTCAGAGCTCTTGCATGTTCGTAAAGTTTACCGTCAAACGTTGGCCGCTATAGATTTCGATATATTATGATMATTTTTTACTAAGTCTTAATAATATTATATTGTCACCCGAATGTCGCTTTTGTGTATGATAATATAGGATAAATTAATATATAAATTCTGATTGTCCGCTTATAAATACTTGCTATAATTACTTACTACGAAATGGATAAAAAAATATGCATTTGGCTAGTTAAAAAAACATAACTGGTGATGGCTATAAGTATTACAATGTTAGGTACTTGTTGAATTCATAATAAATAATACAGTGAACTCCTTTTAATGTGAACAARTTGATGCCAAACTCATTTGCTCATATTAATCGGTTGGCAATATAGTTGACATAAATTATAATTGTACCATTTTGCAAATATTACATTGATGTCCATATTAACCGGGGCCCTTATTAGCTGGAATACCCTGTATTTGTTAATAACAAAGTCCCGAAGTCTTTTAAATCTTCAAGATGCATATTTATATATTTGGTTTTTATTAAATTTTTGAAAAATTATGGTCGTATTTTACTATATGAAATTTATTTTAATTTTTACAGTTATATAAATGCCCTACAAATGAAATTATTACTATTATAAGTGTTATCTGTAAGAAACCTTTCACGTTTGTATACAATCATTAATGCTGGTTTGCATATAATTAATATTGTATTGYGTTAAAAGTACCTAGGAGTTTTTTTCTTTTTTTTTTTAGTATAAAAACTATAGCACAACAAGTATGCAATTGGTTATAGAACAAAATTTAATTCAAATGTATTTTAATAGCATAGAATTAACTATTCTCTATATTATTATGTCCTTCRTAATCAACGCAATATTTATAAATTATAAATAACAGTTTCAAGTTTGGCATTATTAAATTTTCACCAAAAATACTAATTTCCACAAAGCTGTTATTAGACTAAACATTTTTCAATTCCGAAGATAAGAGTAAAATCAACGATCGCATTGAATAATTAATAATAATAATAATAACTGTTGCTGCCATGACGAAATAAACACAGACAACATATTAATTTCATAGTCACGATTAGAATAGCTCTTACATAGCACAAACATTCTTATTTATTTATTTATATTTATTTAATTTATATTTATTTTTTTATCGATTAAAGTATGTAATCTCCATGAAGTCTTTATCGGTCAGTTACCGTAACTACGTTGTTGTGTCAGAATTGACATTATTTTTCTTAACTTAGTTTTTTGTGTTTGTTTTACTCTTCGTTATTACCGCAGGTGACCAGGCTCATTTTTTTATTATATAGGTTCTTTTGAATCACTTTTTAGATTTTTAGCGTAGCAATTAATGTACCTACTTATTTTACTACAATGTATTTTTTTTCTTTTCATTTAATGTGCTTAAATACACAAAAAGTAGTTAATATAATGTTTAAATATTCTAATTTGAAGGTAGTTTTGTATGAGAAATTCTTGCCGGTACTTTCAATAGGTAATTTAAAAAAAAAAAAATCCTTAAAAACAGGAAATTTCACGTGAAATATATTTTGGGATTTGGCGAAACTCTAAAAAATTACCTTAAGCACATGATATTTTCACCGAATGTTTATATTCACATTTTCTATGCATCACACAACTTTTAAAATACTTTGAATAATGTTGAGCTATTTATAAATATATGAAATTTAAAATTATCGCTAGTTTTTTTAAAAATTAATGTAAATAAAAAGTTGTTTGCTTCGTCAATAAACTTGAAAATGTTATACAAGATCTTCGTCAGTTTTTGTTTGTGAAAATTACTAACAAGTTGAACGTAACTCCAAAATAATTTTTTATGAGCATTCGAAGTTAAAATTTTGAAATCTATTATTATTTTTGTTTAGATTCTATTATTGTTAGCCACTATCTACGATATAATTGTTTCTATTAAGGATTTATACAACGGTTCTATTCAAAGTAAATTTGTATTGGACAGTAGCCAGTACCTTTTGAAAAATATCAATATTTAAGTACCTATTTAATAAATATTCATACTTTAGCTAGTAAAAAAAAAAATGTTACCAATTTTTTTCATTTTGGAAATGAATGAAATGATATTAATTGCTTTATGCTAAAATACGTTCAGGCTGGGTTTCTCCCCATGTATCCTCCCTGAGTCACATCTACATCATTTCACACTGCGCACCACACATTCATATTTTTTCCATTATTTTAAATTCTAAATATTAAAGGTGAGCAAGAAGTAAATTATTGTTGAAGTTAATTATTGGTTATTGGAGAATAGGCGGGTGTATTACCGTTTTACATTACTAGCCCATAAAATGGCCTAACGAGAATTAAAAAATCGTTTGTTTGCAGCTATCATYCATACTAACTTAAAACTTAAACGAACACGTGAATTAGCATTATACAAATAATTAAAAATCCTCTTATATTATATTAACATTTCTATTTTTATTTTTATTTTGGAAAAAACTCCGATCAAAGTCCCTCTAATCTCAATCTAATCCATTTCGCTATACGATTTCAAGACAATACTTCCTTTGTTTCTTTTACTTTTTCTATTTTTTCTACTATACATTTTATTATAAAGTATACACAATAATAATAAGCTAATGACATAGATTCAAATTGAATTATTATTAAAGATACCTTCTTCAAAAATACGCAATTATAAAAAATATGTTTCCTTTGTTTGTTAATAGTTGTTTCTTGTTTATAATGGACTATAACATAGTAGCCATTAGATATTATTAACTGAATATTGTTATATGAGTAAATATGAGTTTATAATCAAATATAAATCCAAAGTTATTTTATTTTAAATTAATATTAACATCAATAAAACATAAATACATTTTAGTGCACAATGTAAGAATTTATAATTTCCAATAAACGAGTATGAATATTATAAACTAAACAAGAGTTGCAAAATTTAGCTGATTTGAAATTTGAAATRTAAAAGATGTTCAAAATACTTGTACATTTTCCTAATAAAATAATTGCCTATGCATGAAATTAGTTAAATATTTATTACTTAGTATCATATTCAAAATTCAGTATCATATATACTGAATTTTAAGAYAAACCTTTTGAAGATTACTAAAAATATGTATTTATAGTTTGACAGTAAAAAAATAGGACAAGTTTTAATTAGTGAACAACGTGTTTGTATACTTTAAAAAAGTAGACCTAAATGTAGTATATAGGTACGACAAATCATATTGGCATRATTATCTATAATGTTGCAATGGCGTGTTTTCGATGCCGACAGGAAATTAAATATATTTTCTAAGTCAAAACAGCTTTATTTTTACTTTTATTTTTATTTAGGTGATACCTACCAACTACCACGGTGTAATACTGTAGGCACCGAGTGTGAGAGATAACACTACAACATATAATACATGTTCGCGGTAATACCATTATAATTCACAAACATGGGAAAATAAACCATCAGCTTTACATCCATCGTATGTTATTATAATGTATTTTGTACACGATACGAATAAATCGTGTCAAGTTCGTTTGCGGTTCGTTCTTATCGATATAGATCGATATTACTGCTAGTGTTTCTAGAACTATAATTTAAGTAGCATACGGCTAGAAGTTATATCTTTAAAAGTTTAAAATAATATAGGCATCTAAAATAAGAAAAAAATTTAACTAAAATTCAATTTATACAGTGAATTGTRTCATATATAGATGGATGAGACGTTTTAAGAGAAGAGTAACTGTTGTACGTTTCGTACTAAGCAAAATAACATTTCTATTGAAGAATGGTTGGAGAGTAGTAATTGTTAATGGAGTGATTTTAAGGAGGAAGGGCATCTCATAAAAATGCTAATACACTAAACTCTCTCGTGTTTCAATTTTAAAACCCATCACATCACGTGCCATTAAGAATTTTATAAAGAGCTGTACAGCCGTTGCCTAAAATCAATATCATTTAAGTAATTCCAAAGCAAAAAAAAAAACAAATAAATAAAATCTTTGGTTAAAATTGTTTTTCAATATCCAATTAATATATTAGTGTTAAATGGTGGAATTATCTACTGGCGTTGGATCACTGGTTGACCTTTGTACCACTATTTTTGAACAAATTTAATTTACTTTACTTAAATTTTTTTAAATTTTTTTTTTTTTGAGGGTTGGGAGGAGGACGTAAAATAAGAATTTTCAATTACTCCAGGGAAATATCATTGATTATGACAATTTTATATTCTTTTGCTATTATAAATGTGATTTATCACAATAGATCCGATATTATCGGATACATTTATTATCAATAGGTATACCTATTTAAGTTTATATTTTACAATAGTATTCATAATTTATACTAAACAAAATATATTTTAAATCTATGAGRTTTATATTATGTTAGAAAAAATAAACTTATCATGGATATAAAATTAGTTTATACTGATCAGTAAATAACATAGACAACAAATAATCCGTTCAGTAAAGAGTTACATTTAAAATAAAGTTATTCTATATAAGTAACCTAAYTTTTGCTTTTTATATAAAATRCCAAGTGGTTTAAATTTTCACGCTCTTACCTATTTGACATTTACATAATATCATGTTATTGCGTTCATAAATTAACATGTATTATTTAATGACCATMGAAATCAAATAAAAATCACCGCATGGATGTTTATTTGATTTCCGAAGACYTASCGTCACTGAGCCTCTATGTTTTCGTTACCTACAGATAAATTCATTATACTCTCGTGTATAATATAACTATTATCTACCGACGGTAATGYTATTGAAGCGAGGAGATGATTTCAGATTAAAAATTTTCAATGGTCACAGATTGCATCGATCGGTTCCAACGGATGTGGGCTAACGAGTTTGACTGTTTATTGTTTTTGTTTATCAGGTATATCTGATTTTCCGTAAATTCATTTTGGGCGTTTTTATTTTTATTTGTTTGTACCTTATCGATTTTACGAGTCAAGTTATTTTTTGTCATTATTCGTGTCCCATTTCATCATAACGACGCACACGAGAGATTATTGAAATTAAAAACAATAATCTGCACCTTCTTGTATTTATTTAATTATTTTGGAAGTCGTTAAAAAGATACTAATGACAAAATCCAACGCATAACAATGTGCTTTAATCTTTAAGCTGAAAAAATGAGTTGAAATTTGCATATTTTATATACATTTTTACTTACAAGTCAATATACTATAAAAAATAATCATAGTTCCGTGTAAGATAAATGGTTTTACCGATGTGCATTACTGCATATATGAACTACTCATATCAGTAGTAGGTACTCATGATTTTCATAATATTTTGTATTTGATAAAACCGTTTACGCTAACAATAAAATTATTTATGAATAAACATCAACATKATTTATATAAAATGTCAATATATAATATATTAATCTCCTATTTTTATTAAATAGGTATATAATTAATATTTGATATTCATTTGTATATTTTRATTTAGAACTGCTTTATTAGAATGATTTTCCAAAAAAAAATAAAAAAGCATTTAGAAGTCAACATTTTATAAACAATTRAAAATTATGTTATGTTATCGACAATTTAATTTATGAGATAGAACTATTATAATAAGTCTACTTAAAAGTATAATCCTTACAAAAGTTTTCAAACAGGTTAAAGATTATGTATTCGTCTTCAGTTAAAAAATGCTATTATGTAACTAATAACACACAAATCAAGTAATAGTATTTCCATAACAAAAAAATACATTTATRTATAAAATTATTGTCAGAATATATTTTTGGTTACGTTCATGAATTATTATTGTATATTAGATTGCACTGAAAATTGAATAAACTCACTCATTTTTAATTATTAARTATATCCTTTTTGTATTAAGTAAATCAAAGTATAATGGTTTCTCGTGGACACATAGCTTAACTTTTTTTTCATTCTMAATCCCCATAAATAAGAATACTCCAAGATCAAAGTATCCTGCTGTAGATATAKCTGGAAGATAAATGTGAACCCTAATTCACAGTACACGTGCGAAAGCGTTGTAAATAACTCTCGTTTTGCGAACGGAAATGAGACCTCAAACGGACTCTGCAGTTTTCGTCGAGTGGAGGTATTATATCCAAGTTTTGATACTAYTTTGAATTCARACGTCAGTGCTTTTGATATCCTTTAAATTAAGGACTACAATAAGATGCAATGAATTAATCATACTAAAGCATAACAGCTCAAGTATTATTAAGGGTATTATCTGTAGTCACATTTATGAGCAATGAAGTTATACACAAATTTTTAAGGATCTTTATGAGCAAAGGTTGAAGGAAAACCAAATA